ATTCCAGCAAACCCCCTCTGGTTTGGGAATTTTCTGCCTCATGGATGTGGCCCGTAAGATGGGTCCCTTTCTGACACCTGCTCCATCTGATTCTCTGCTGAGGTCCCCGTGGGCTGCTTCTTCCAAGGAAGCCTCCAGTCTCTGCATTTGGGGCTGAATGACATTCTTCTGAGCACCCCACTTATTGGGAGCTTCACAGCCACTCTGTGGTTAACCATCTCAACAATCCTGCGAGTGCTATTATCATCATTATGGGTAATATTATTCCACCGTACAGATAAGGCTCAGAGAGGGCCAACTCATGCCCATGGTCACACAGCTGGGGAGCTGCACAATCTGCATTAGAATCTAGGTGTGCTGATCCTACCCCCCAGGCTGTGCTCGCATATCTGCTGGGACAGGGAGCTCTCTCACACGCAGGCACCGCGGCTTGTGTGAGATGACAGCTCTGTGAGCAACAGATCTCGAGCGGATCTGACTAGTGCTTTCTCATGAGGGCCGCACTTATAGTTTACAATACACCTTCTCAGATATTCCAGGCAGCCCAAGATAAGTCTGTCCCCTTAGCATTAATTCAAAAGAACACTCTCCCGTTGTTTCTTCAAATATCATTTTCAGGACTTTCCACTTAACCCTCCACGACCTGTCACACACCCTGCTCTCACATTCCCTCTCTCTTTCTCTCTCTGGGATGTGTCTAATCTGCAACGCAATCTGTCTTTTGGTTTTCTGGGGTATTTTTTGGCAGCTGGCCAGTACAGGGATCGAACCATGGACCTTAATGTTATCAGCACCACACTCTAACCAAGTGAGCTAACCCGCCAGCCTGTCTTTTGTTCTTTTATGTTACTAGGACATTTTCCATACATTTCAAACATAAAGGAAGTAGAACAATATGGTGCAGAGGTTCTCAAAATGTGGTCCCCAGAACAGCAGCACCAGCAGCATTTGGAAACTTGTCAGAAATGTAAATTCTGGGCCGGCCCAGTGGCGCACTACTACAGTGCACCGCTTGGGAGCGCGGTGGCGCTCCCGCTGAGGGTTCGGATCCCACATACAGACCGGCCGCTCACTGGCTGAGCGAGGTGCGGGCGCAACACTGAGGGTTGCGATCCCGTTGCCGGTCCTGGTCCAGTACGGGCGTGACACTGAGGGTTGCGGTCCGTTGCCAGCCACGAAAAAAGACAAAAAAAAAAAAAAGAAAAAGAAATGTAAATTCTTGGGCCCCACCTAAGACCTAATAAATTAGACACTTTGGGGGTGGGGTCCAGCAATCTGTGCATGTATGTGTGAATGTGTTAGTGTATTAGCCTACCTTATATTTTTCTCCACTTTTTAAATTTTGCATACAGTAAAATTTACTCTCTGTGGTGCGCATTTCTATGCACTTTGAAAAATGTTTCCCAACAACCATCATGATCAGGTTCAAGAACATTCCATCACCCCCCAAATTCTCTCTTGATGCTCCTTTGTAGTCAGTTTCTTCTCCACCTTCAATTCCCCACAAGCACTGATCTGTTTTCTGTCTATATAATTTTGCCTTCTCCAGAATGTCATATAAGTGGAATCGTTCGGTGTGTAGGCTTTTCGGTCTCATTTCTCCACTTAGCATAACTATTTGAGATCCATCTCTACTGTTGTGCGTATCAGTAGTTTGTTTCTTTTTATTGCCGACCTGTGTTCCATTGAAGGGATGTACGGGTTTTTTGAGCCATTCACTTGCTGAAAGACATTTTCGTTGTTTCCAGTTTGGGGTGATTTTGAATCAAGCCATAATGAATATTTGTATACAGGTTTTTGTTCAAACATAAAGTTCCGTTTCACTTGGGTATGTACCCAAGAATGGGATTGGGAGGGATAGGGTTAACTTTGTAAGAAACTGCCCAGCTGCACCATTGTGCACTCTCACCAACAGTGTAAGAAGGTTCCAGTTGCTCTGCCTTCTCGGCAGCACTCGGTATCAGCTTGGATTTTCTCTTTATTTTAGTCATGCTGATAGGTATGTGCGGGTATCTTGTGGTTTTCGTTTGCATTTGCCTAATGACGATGATGCTGAGCACGTTTCCTTACCTGCCATTCATGTACATCTTCTTTGGTCAAGTGTCTGTCCAAAGCTTTTGCCTATTTTTAATTGGGTTGTTTATTTTTTATTATTGCATTTTTAAATATTCCAGATACAAATTCTTTGTCACATGTAAGAATCTGTGTTTTGAAAAGCCCTCTAGGTGATTCTGTGTTGCACTAAAGTTTGAGAACCACTGGTATAATGAATCAGATTTACCCAACGTCTAGTTTTAACAAATATTAACACTTTGCTGAAATTTTAAAACAAAACGCAGACATAATACAATTTCATCTCTAAATATTTCAGTATGCATTTCTAAAATACAGGAACATATTTTTTTACATAGCAAAAATACCATATAACACCTTACAAAAGTAAAATAATTTCTTCTCTATGTGCTGACAGAGGGGGGAAGGGAATTCTCACGTCATGCACCAGCCATGCCCTGACCCCACACACACCACCTCATTCACTTCTCACAGTGACCCTGGGAGGAGAATGATGCTTCCTACCGTCACGTCCATTTGACAGATAAGGAAACTGAGGCTTGGAAAGGGGAAGTCCTGCCAAGACAGCCTCTACCAAGAGCCAGGCCCGGACCCCCAGACCCCTTTGCTCACTCCACCCTGTGCTCCAGGCTCCCTTGACCAGGTCATTTTTTCACACTGCACAGGCTGAGAAGGGCAAAGACAGGCACAGACGTGAGAACTGATGAACAGTCAAGCTGGTGGGCTCTCCCGTGCTGCCCTAGGTGTCATATCCCAGGCACCAGGTGTACCCCACGGGCTTCTGCTCCTTCCTCAGGCCTCACCTGAGTCTGCACCTGCCCTTGAAGACGGGCCTGCCTGCCACCCCCACCCCTGTGTCTCCTGCTTAGCCCAGTCTTAAGAGAATGGACTCGAGGGCCACCCAGGCCTGAGAGCAGATGCTGG